ATTTTTGGACATTTTAAAACATTAAAATCACAACAGCATGAGCTACAATAGGCACCAGAATTGACTTTCACAATGTTTACATGGAATTGACGATCTGTCTACAAATTTCCAAAAGTCGCCTACCTAGACGTTCAGCTTGAACTACATATCTACGCCCAAGAGGGGTCAGAGTTAGACGTGCAGATACTGCACCTGATTTGCACGTTGTGTAGACGTCCAGATATGGTTCTGGACCGACCGACTCCATCTAGACATGATCTGCACGTCTGATGGACGTCTCATGTTTGGTGGGTATAGGCCTATGTCATATTTTTGTCGAAGCAGGCCTACAAATTGCAGTGAACCTGTCTGTTACGGATTCTAATATATAATTACTGTAATGAAGTGTAGTGTTTATCTACAGCAGAACATGGGTTTTACATGCCTAAATTCGTAGACTTCGGGTCATTGTTCTTCCTCTGTCATCACATTAAAAATATTTACGCCGTTTTATACTGAGAGCAGCTTCAGTATGCAGGTAGAAACCTGTGGAAGTTATTTCATAAATATATAAATTGTATTACGTTCTACATAGACTACTTTAATCTGGTATTAATTCGCTTTGGAGGTAATGACAGGCTGTTGTTTACACACAATTTAACCTGTAGTTTATCGCAATCCAGCACATAGGAAACAAGTAGGGCTAATCATGGCCTTAAATGGGGGTCCAAAAGGCAACAGTCTCGGCTAATTGATAGGTCGCTTGCGATTTGCTTTTATATGGTGTGCAGACGATGGGAATGTCTTTACCGGCGTTTTCCCGGGTGAAAGGACTCCGCTATCTGGGCAACAGAAGGGCCGCGATGCTCCCGGCTTGGGAAGCGGCCCGATCCGCCGATAAGGCATGTATGTCTCGCCCATCAGCCAGGCTGGGGACGCCGATAAGACATCAGAGCGGCCGAACACCATTATCCCAATCCCAGCCGGGCAATGAGGGGGCGGCACCGTAAATCAAGGAGCCGTGAGAACCACCCATCATGGACACAATTGCCATGGGATCCATTTAGGGTTAAAGATAATCTCTTTTTACGGCAACATTTCACTTTGTACTACCTCCGGTCAAACTCCGCAGATACATAAAACCATTATTCAAATGACAAAATTTAATTCTTTCACGGTTTTCCCCTCGCATCAGATGAGTGTCATAAATTACGTTTGTAGTTCTGCTTGTTTAATTGATAATCCTTCGTTTGCGGTTTGCTTTACAATTATACGCTTTATTGCCTACTTCACGTTTTTTAAAAAAGTTTATCGATGATACTTAAAACGGGGTTGTTTTAAGATGAATATTTATTGATTTATAGATCATTAGAAATGCTTTTGCTAGTTAATTAATGTACTTAACCTAAAATCACCGCCCCTGTTACACTGTGTAGCCTACACGCGTGCAGGAGTCTAATTACATCGATACAGCATTAAAGTATAGCGTTATTAGCGCGTCTTAATCGGCTCTGCACCCTAATCCACCAGACTGCTGAAAATTCATTTATCAAAATGTCTACAGTATCTTTCTTATGCACGTTATGTCAAAGACTGGACGCAACACAGGAATCCATACTAATGAAATACTTAAAGAAATCTAATTATCCGTCGCTTCTAACGAGCGCGGCTACTTAAGTCATACCGGTTGGGGCGGGCAGCACCACGCATTTCACAATGACTAAGTACAGTCTTGATCTACGGACTATCTGCGCCACACAATTCAGCACCACGGAGCGGACAGATCTAGTGCCCAGGATTGTTGACCCAAAACTGGCAGCTTACGTGCCAATTAAC